GCTTTACCCAGTCACTTGAGTTTGGACCTGCATTGTTTCCCTTTCTTTCCAGCAAAAGTCTTGTTTCCCGGGATGACAGGTCTCAATAATCATAATCAACTCTTTGTGTCACGACATTTTTGTCTCTGCTGCCTGCATGTCAGGCCGTCTCCCTCTCTTCTGCTTGAGTGTGCGGAGGGCCCGTCACCCTTATGTCAGCTTCAGGGCTCTCAGGCATCTCTCTAAGACAGTGATGGCGAACCTTTTGAGCTTGACGTATCAGCATTTTGAAAAACCCTAACTTAACTCTGGTGCCATGTCACATATAGACATTTTTTGATCTTTGCAACCATAGTAAAACAAAGACTTATATTTTTGATATTTATTTTATATATTTAAATGCCATTTAACAAAGAAAAATCAACCAAAAAAGTGAGTTCGCATGTCACCTCTGACACGCGTGTCATAGGTTCACCATCACTGCTCTAAGAGGATCTCTTACTTCCCAGACCCAAGTGTCACAGGATGTGGGTCTTCCACTGGAGTCTCAGGAGGCCACACCTCCACTCTGCAAGAATCCACGGTCTTTTTTCTGCTCTTTCTTCCTCTCTTCTTTCTTTCTTTCTTCTTTCTTTCTTTCTTTCTTTCCTTCTTTCTTTCTTCTTTTTCTTCTTCTTTCCCTTTACATCAGGCAGTCTCACCTCCTCTATCTGAAGGTCAGGAAGTCAGGAGGTTTCACCAACCTGAGTGATAACAGGTTGCAGTTCACTGAGTGTTAGGAGGCCTCACTTGTTTTAAATCAGTGTCAAGATTGTGCTTGATCAAGTAACCAAAAAAACAGGTCTTTGGAAATATAGTTATGGAAATGGCAATAAGAATTCACGGAGTGATATTAAAGTTTTGACTGTTAAAGAAAAGCCAATTCGGGTGTTTTTACAGGATTTTGATGGGCATAAAATTGATATGGTATTTAGATCCATGAGAATAATTTAACAGAATGGTGTACCATTTATTTTAAATGTTGAAATTTACCCTTTTCTGCAAATCACAACTTTACAAGTATTTAAATATATGATCAAAACGTTGGATATAAACTTTGAAATGAAGAGCAGGACCTAATTTTTCAAAACATTGAGGGTTATGCACTAACAGGGTTAGAGGACCCAACGTCTGGATTCCACAGAATAATTGTTTGACTCTGCAGAGCGACACCCACTCCTGGTTCTAGAAGGGGCTGCCAGGCATCCTACCTCTTGAAAGTCCCCTGGTGCAAACCTTGAGGTTCTGACTCTCTCTGAGGCCTCGGGTGGCTTCTGACCTGCAGGGACGTGTGTCCTCTCCCTCAGACACTTGCGGAGCCAAGGCCATGCCATCTCCATGGGAGCTGGCTCCACCGCTCCTGCTCTTCCCTCTGCTGCTGTCCCATCCCAGAGAGACCAGCTCCAGGTGCAGCTCAGAGACCTGTCTCCTGGTGCCCAGCACTCGGCCCCAGCAGGGGGCAGGGTCTCCCCTCCACCCCACACTCAGACTTCCTTCATGGCCCCTTCTGTATGATGAGCAGTTTCTAACTTGAAACAAAAAACTTGAAATTGTGGGGCTTTCTAGACAGATGGCGAGCCTCTCGAGGTCAAAATGCCCAGCAGTCATGGTCTCTGCCTCACCAGGGCCTTCTTCACCTTCCCCACGAGGCCTTTGCTGGCTCCCAAAGCACCTGAGCCCCTGCACTGCCTCCAGGTGGAAACTCGGAATCCACCCCTCATGTCTCTGCTGGCTTCTCTCCACCTCGCACTCTTACTCCCTCTGGGACCAGCACACGACCCTGGAGGCATCTCCCACTGGTCTCACCTGGCTCGGTGAGAACCTGAGTCAAGGCCAACGTTTCTCATTGTCACGTTCACGCTGCACCTTCACACAGTGTGGCCAGGCTCTGCACCCACCACCCCTCCTGCAACCCTCTGGTGCCCAACTTCTCTGGCACATCAGCTCTGCAGGCCTGGCCCTCTCAGCCCTGGACCCTGCAGTCTCCACCTCTCACTTCCTGGGAAGTGTCCACCCACTCACCTCTGTTCATTCTCCTTCCACCCATCAGGCTGGCCACCCCCACCAGGTGCCACACCGGACCTGCCACATCATGGGCCGTGGCAGCTGGCTGCTTACCTGTCAGCTCAGGGAGAAGTGAGACCTGGGCATGGGCAGCAGCTGTGGGGGCAGGACGACAGGGACAGACAGGGGAGGGCTGACAGGCAGGAGCAGCAGAATGAGAAACTGGGCTCTGGGAGGAAAAGAGGACAGATAGGGCCCCAGAGGACAACCAGACTTCCAGCTGGGGACTGGCCAGTGAGCAGAAAGGAAAGCTTCCAACAGCACAGGCTGAGGTCCAGTGGGACTCAGAGAGGCAAGGAGCCGGTGGCATGGAGGTCAGTATAGAGTCAGGATCAAAGAGGGGGCCTGAGTCATCAGTGCCTGTGGCTAAACGCTCATGCCTAGGCTGGGTGGGGGGGAGGGGACAGCTCTGTGACCTAAGGGACAGCAGGGTCTGTGCTCCCAGTATCTCCTCAAGCAGGCAACTGAGAAACAGTT